TCTAAAATCAAGAACAAGCCAAGGACATCTACTATCATCACACTTGTTCAATATAGTACTAAAACATTAGCTAGAGCAACCAGGCAAGAGAATGAAGTAAAAGGGGTGAATATGGGAACAAAAAAAGTCAAAATATCATTATTTTCAGATGACATGATCCTCTACATAGGAGACCCAAAAAATTCCATCAGAGGACTCTCACAGTTAATAAGCAATTCCCCCGGCTCGCTCACGTGACCCCAGGCTAATCTTGTCCCAGTGACTTCACACGCCGCCGCGGGCACAGTCGTCATGGTTACGCCGCAGCGCCCGGCGCTTCCCCCAGCTTGCTTTGCCCCTCCCTAAGCGGACCCCCTCCTTCCGCGATCGGGCCGCCGCCCCCATCCCGCACCGTGTGACTGCCCGGAAGGGGGGGTGGAGGCGCTGTGGTCGTAACCCGTTCCTCTCCGCTTCCAAAAGCTGACTTAGGCTTCCGGGTGCCATTACCGATGTCCTAGCGGTCCCGCGGCGGGTGCTGTCCTCCCTGAGCGCCCAGGTCCCGCCCGCAGCCCTAGTCCCTGGCCTGGCAGCTGAAAGCCTGGGTGTTAGCTATAGCTCTGAGGGTCCCCAAGGGAAGCCCAGGCTCTGGGCCGAAACACGAGATGGGGAAGCCTTTGAGTCCTCTCTCCAAAGAAAAATTTTCCTTGTGTGTCCACGCCAGGCTTGCCTGTGTTTTGACTGTAATTTGCACTACAATCGACACCTTCGTTCTCTAGCAGCAAATACCAAATTTCAGGGAGTATGTTGGGCTGAACTTGACTTCCGCCTTCTGAACTTCATTTTCTCAAAATTTGAGACCAATGGGGATATCTCTACTTGGACTGTTCCGAGGATTAAGGGAGTTGAAGTGTGCACAGTGCTCGCATGATCCAAAGCAGTCCTGAGGCAGGCAAAGCAGCAGGTCCACTTTATCCAGTGCCTCCCTTTGACGGGAGCTATAGGCAGCCCTGGGTACCCGTTCCGTGCGAAATCACCCTAAAGCAGTGCAGGCTTGACTGGCCACACTCAGCCTCCACACAGAAGCCATGGAGGAAGCACAGGGGGCTGTGACAGCTTAGAGGGTCTGGAGAGAGGACAGACTTCCAGGATGAAGTGAGACTTGGAAGAGGGAAGAAGCCCTTCTATGCAGATAGCCTGAGGGTGAAGGTTACTTAATACCTCCATGTCTTGGGTTTTGCTCTTTAAAGTGGGGCTAACAATGCCCACCGTACAGAGTTGAGAATTCAGTGAGAATACACTTATACCAGAGGTTAACATATAAACCTTTCATAAAAGCTAGCTGGTGACAGCCATGCAGGCATGGTGGACCACACCTGCAATCGCAGCTACTCAAGACACAACAAGGAGAATCAGGTTCAAAGCCGGCCTGGGCAAGACTAAAAGCTTAAAAATTTTTTTAAAGAAATTTAGTGGCTGAGAATGTATCTCAGTGGTGGAGGGCTTCTGGTTTCTTCACTACTGCCGAAAAAAAACAAAACAAAAACCAAAAAAAAGAGGAAAGGCTGTGGTCATTGGGTGCTTTGGCTCCAGAAGCCTGCTGCAGCTTGGTATCAGGCTGTTATGTACGGCGTGGGCACCAGCAGCAGTTGGGTGAGGCTGCGTGGCAAGGTAGGACCAGAGCAGGTCAAGAGCAGTGGGCCACTGAAGAGTCTGACAGGAGAAGGTGCTGGCCAATTAGTTTCTTAAATCCTGAAGAATAGAGGGAGGACTGACTGGAGCTCCTTTGAGAGGCAGATGTCCTGGGCCAAGTGACAACTAATGAGGCTTGAACTAAACATAAGAATGGTGAGACTAGAGCTAAATGTGACAGTGGGCCAGCTTTGGAATCCAGAGGCTCCTTTTAAATATGCAGATCTTAGGTCTACCACACCCACTGAAAGTCTACGAGGAAAAGGCCTGGGAATTTTTAGGGAACGGAAAATACCATTTTCCACAAACCCTTTGCCTCATTTGAGCTTCTCTGCATGTAATCCAAACCCTGTCCTCCACTGGAATGTATGATGATCATTCTCCTGTACTACAAGGTTTTGCAAAAGGATGTACTTGAGGGACAATTAGAGGTATTCTTGTCCTCAGCCATCTCAGAATTTGCTAACCAACTAGATGTGGAGATAGGAGACTAAGATGACTCTTGGTGTCAAGTTCTGGACAAGTCTGGTACACCATGATGCCCTGTGATTTGTTTTCATTTTTTGAGATGCTGGGGATTGAACCCAGGGCCTCCTGCATGATAAGGACTCCACTTTACCGAGCTACACCCCAGTCACTAAACTTGAGTTTGATACATATCCTTGTATCTACCTTGGAGTGTGCCAGTATGTTACCTGTATATAGAAAACTATCTGTACCAGATGCCCAAGGGGAAGTGCAGCTCACAGGATGGTACCTGAGGGCAAAGCTCAAGTGCTGCCTCCAGTTGTTGGGAGCCCAGCATCCAAGCCTGAGCCTCCAGCAGTGCCAAGTCAGTTCTTGCTGCTGACAGCACCTCCCCTTTTCACTCTCACAGGGCCTGCTGCCCAGCACCACACCAAGGCCGAGGCCATGGCCTGCCTCCATGAAACCCGCACACCCTCCCCTTCCTTTGGGGGTTTTGTGTCTACCCTAAGTGAGGCATCCATGCGTAAACTGGACCCAGACACTTCGGACTGCACTCCTGAGAAAGACCTGACACCCACCCAGTGTGTACTTCGGGATGTAGTTCCTCTCGGTGGGCAGGGCGCGGGCGGGCCCAGCCCTTCTCCAGGTGGAGAGCCACCCCCTGAGCCTTTTGCCAACAGTGTTCTACAGCTACATGAGCAGGATACAGGGGGCTCAGGGGGAGCTACTGGGTCACCTGAAAGTCGGGCATCTAGAGTTCGAGCTGATGAGGTACGATTGCAGTGCCAGAGTGGCAGTGGCTTCCTTGAAGGCCTCTTCGGCTGCCTGCGCCCAGTATGGACCATGATTGGCAAAGCCTACTCCACAGAACACAAGCAGCAGCAGGAAGGTAGGCCAAATCCCTGTGGGCACCCTTGGTGGGTCCAGGATCTTAGACGGCCCCATTCCCTCCCCATGGCCCAGCTCTAGTCCCTTCCCATCAGCCCAGCTTCCCAGCTTTCCCCCTCCCCATGCAGGGCAGGAGGACCCTCACACGATGGGCAAGTGCCCAGCCACTCAGCTGCTACATCCCTAAGTCCACCCAGGTACTTCCTGCTCTGTCCTCTAAACCTTGAGTCTTTTCAGCCTAATTTGGCTTTCTCCCCTACTCTTGAGTCATTTCAGCCAAACCCATGCTGTCCTGACCCTGGCCTTGAGTGTCACAAGACCTTGAGTGAAGCTCTTTCTGAGCCTTGTGGCACTGTGCCTCCTGCCTACAGACCTTTGGGAGGTCCCCTTTGAGGAAATCTTGGACCTGCAGTGGGTAGGCTCAGGGGCCCAGGGTGCTGTCTTCCTGGGGCGTTTCCACGGGGAGGAAGTGGCTGTGAAGAAGGTGCGAGACCTCAAGGAGACAGACATCAAGCACCTGCGAAAGCTGAAGCACCCCAACATCATCACATTCAAGTGAGGTCCAGGGCAGGGGCTGGGGAGTTTACAGAGGCCAGGGACTCTCCTCGGCAGTGGGACCTACCCTACCTTTCCCAGAGGGGATCTCCCAGACTGCATGGATGGAACTAGGGCTCCAGGTGCAAATTAGCTCAATATTAAGCTGAGGATTTCATACCGTTGCATGCCCCAGGGGCGTGTGTACCCAGGCACCCTGCTACTGCATCCTCATGGAGTTCTGCGCGCAGGGCCAGCTGTATGAAGTACTGCGGGCTGGCCGCCCTGTCACCCCTTCCTTACTGGTTGACTGGTCCATGGGCATTGCCGGAGGCATGAACTATCTGCACCTGCACAAGATTATCCACCGAGACCTCAAGTCTCCTAAGTGAGTAAGCAAGCAAGCAGGGCAAAACAGATACGCATGCACATGACCTGCCCAAGGCAGTCTGTACCTCCAGACCTGTCCCAAGTCCATGTGCCCATCTCAAAAACTTGCTGGCTGGGGATTTAGCTTGGTGGTTCCACCGCCTGCCTCTCAAGTACAAGGTCCCAAGTTCGATCCCCAGGGGCAGAAAAAAAAAAACTTCCAACCAGTAGTCCTATCTCGGGAGGGCTATGGTGAGCATCTCAACGTTTGGGTGTCCCAAATGATGTTGAAGAGAAAGGCAGAATTACAAGGTTACAGGCGTGTGTGGAGGGGTGTGGACCCCAGCTCACTACACTCTTTACCAGCATGCTAATCACATACGACGACGTGGTGAAGATCTCAGATTTTGGCACTTCCAAGGAGCTGAGTGACAAGAGCACGAAGATGTCCTTTGCAGGGACAGTAGCCTGGATGGCCCCTGAGGTGATCCGCAACGAGCCCGTGTCTGAGAAGGTCGACATCTGGTGAGGGACAGGCTGAGAACTGAAAAGTGGGTGGCCAGCAAAGGGGGAGGAGGTACTTCTCAGGTTTAAACAAGATGGGCTTGTAGCAGCCAGGGCATCTGGAGGGAGCCCCTCTCAAGTGTGTCCCCTCTCATCTACAGGTCTTTTGGTGTGGTGCTATGGGAACTACTGACGGGCGAGATCCCCTACAAAGATGTAGACTCTTCAGCCATCATCTGGGGTGTAGGAAGCAATAGTCTCCATCTACCTGTGCCCTCCAGCTGCCCAGATGGCTTCAAAATCCTGCTTCGCCAATGCTGGTAAGGATGGACTGAAAGATGATGCCTGTACGAAATTGTGAAGCAAATAGTTTTGCTGTGGGATAGCCAGCCCTGAGAACTGAGGCACTCAGGCCCAAAATCCTGAGGAAAAGGGGTCAAAGCTCCCCAATGTGTCTCAACCCAGGATGGCCAGGCATGGTGGCACATGCCTATAAAACCCAGCCCTGGGGCCAGGCGTGGTGGCGCATGCCTGCAATCCCAGCACTCAGGAGGCTGAGGCAGGAGGATCACTATGAGTTCAAGACCAGCCTGGGCTACACAGTGAGTTCCACCAGTCTCAACTACATAGTGAGACCCTGTCTCAAAAAAACACACAAAAAGATTAAGCAATGGGGAGGCAGAGGTGGGAGGACCACTGCAAGTTCAAGGCCAGCCTATAGTAAGACCTTGTTTCAAAAAGAAAAAAGTAGAGCTGGGGATTTGGCTCAGTGCTTCCGCAGCCTGCCTTGCAAGCGTAATGGCCCAAGTTAGATCCCCAGTACCAAAAAAGAAATAATTGTGGTTTAAAAAATAATTTAAAAACTGCCAGACATGGTGGCTCACACCTGTAATCCCAGCACTCACAGGAAGATTATGGCAAATTCGGGGGCAGCCTGAGCCATATAATCAGTTCAGGGTAGGCCTGAACTACAAAGTGAGTTCCTGTCTCAAAAAAAAAAAAAAAAAAAAAAATCCCAGCACTGGGGAGGGTTGAGGCAGGATTGCCCGAGTTCAAGGCCAGCCTAAACTACATAGTGAGACCATGTCAAAAAACAAAACAAACCATGATTTAAGATATGGATTAAGAGAACTACAATGTAGAACCAAGTGAGGTTGGACTGACCATTAATCAGCAGGGGTCATGATAAGACTTACTTGTGCGACCAGGGATTTAGCTCAGTGGCACTGTGCCTGCCTCCCAAGTGCAAGGTCCTGAGTTCAATCCCCAGTACCGCCAAAAAAAAAAAACCTGACTGACTTGAATCTGAATTGAGAGTATGCCAACTTCTGAGCTGAGGGACCCTGGGCACTTGCTATCACCTCTAAACCTGCTTCTTCATTTATAAAATAAGGGTAAAAACATCTGCTACCCAGTTACTATAAAACAATAATACACTGAACTGAACCGAACCACCAAGAAAATGGCATCACCACTGATTATCAGTGGCTCAGCCTCCGACAACTTTGGAATGCAGGAGGGAAAGTTCAAGATTTAATCCTCAAAGTTTTTCTTTCAATAGAATTACTCAGGTTTTATTTTGGCAGAGAAGTTGGAAAATAGGAGTTAAACAGATTTGCTTACTATAGGATGTTGATGTGCTAACAGATTGTGTGACACTTCCGGAGTAGAGCATGGCATTCTTTGGTCACAGAATTCATTCTATGGTGGTGCATGACCATATTTCCAGCACTTGGGAGGCTGAGGCAGGAGGATCACCTTAAGTTAAAGGCCAGCTTGAACTGCAGACACTGTCTTCCAAAAAAATTCACTCTAGGGCTGGGGAATTTAGCTCAGTGGTTCCGGCACCTGCCTCGCAAGTGTAAGGACCCAAGTTTGATCCCTGGTACCACAAAAAAAAAAGGAAAAGGAAATTTCACTGGAGGACTAGATTTTTCTGGACACTTTGTGGAAAGATGATCCAGTTCCTATTTTAATCTCCCCTGAAATTCCTTTCTCCCTCAACCCAACTCCATTCTCTTCAGGAACAGCAAGCCACGAAATCGGCCATCGTTCCGACAAATCCTGCTACACCTGGACATCGCCTCAGCTGATGTACTCTCCACACCCCAGGAGACTTACTTTAAGTCCCAGGTGTGCTGTGGGTAGGATAATGAATACCTAACTTCCCTTTGCAGAAATGATGCACTTTAAGGAGGGAACTGGGAAAAGGGTTGATTAGACACAATAATCCCTAAAGGACTAGGACACCATTTCAGTACCAACTCCTTCCTGTTCCAAAATCTGCAGTGGCGCAGTCATCCTTAAAGCACAGAGATAACCTCCAAACCCTCTGCATTCTCTCCATCCCCAGGCAGAATGGCGGGAAGAGGTAAAGCTGCACTTTGAAAAGATTAAGTCAGAAGGAACGTGTCTACACCGACTAGAAGAGGAGCTGGTGATGCGAAGGAGGGAGGAGCTCAGGTGTGTGCCTGCTTGAGAAGGTGCTTTTACATGCTTGGACTGGACATCATCAGGTCCCAGAGTTGGGACTATCATGCCACCAAATGTAGTCAGTTCACCTATCTCCCCATTTCAGACATGCCTTGGACATTAGGGAACACTATGAACGGAAGCTGGAGAGAGCCAACAACCTGTACATGGAACTGAATGCCCTTATGTTGCAGCTAGAACTCAAGGAGCGGGAGCTACTCAGGTAACTACCTGCCTTATACACTGACCCTACTATCACAAAGTCTTAGTGGAACTGGCCAACCTAAGAGATCCTGTGGATCCCTTCATGGTTACATCCCCCATTGAGAAAGTGCCTGTTTGTAGGCGGGAACAAGCTTTAGAGCGGAGGTGCCCAGGCCTGCTGAAGTCACACCCTTCCCGGAGCCTCCTCCATGGGAACACTATGGAAAAGCTCATCAAGAAGAGAAATGTGCCACAGAAGCTATCACCCCATAGCAAAAGGTAGGACTCAAATTCAGAGACAGGTTTGAGTATGACAGGAGGGATGCTGGAGCCTGCAGATACTGAGGGGAGACTTGTATTGTCCAGTCCAAGTTTAGGGAGTGCTGTGGGTATATAAATTTGTTAATCTCAACCTTCTTTCCCTTCCCTACCAGGCCAGATATCCTCAAGACAGAGTCTTTGCTACCTAAACTAGATGCAGCCCTAAGCGGAGTGGGGCTTCCTGGGTGTCCTAAGGGCCCCCCCTCACCAGGACGGAGTCGCCGTGGCAAGACTCGTCACCGCAAGGCCAGCGCCAAGGGCAGCTGTGGGGACCTGCCTGGGCTTCGTGCAGCTGTGCCACCCCACGAACCTGGAGGACCAGGAAGCCCAGGGGGCCTAGGGATGGGACCCTCAGCTTGGGAGGCCTGCCCTCCAGCCCTCCGTGGGCTTCATCATGACCTTCTGCTCCGCAAGATGTCTTCTTCATCCCCAGACCTCCTGTCAGCAGCACTGGGAGCCAGGGGCCGTGGGGCCACAGGAGCTGGGGATCCTGGCTCACCACCTCCAGCCCAGGGTGATACCCCCCCAAGTGAGGGCTCAGCTCCTGCCTCCACAAGCCCAGATTCACCTGGGGGAGCTAAAGGGGAACCACCTCCACCAGTAGGGCCTGGTGAAGGTGCAGGGCTACTGGGAACTGGAAGGGAAGGGACTTCGGGCCGGGGAGGAAGCCGGGCTGGGTCCCAGCACTTGACCCCAGCTGCGCTGCTGTACAGGGCTGCTGTCACGCGAAGTCAGGTAAAGTATGAAGAGCTTCCTGTAGCTCTTTTTCCTTATTCCCAGGATGCAACCTCATCCTCCACATTACACTCTCAATCTTAAACCATGCCCTCCACCCTCTAACTCAATTCCCTTGTGCATTCTTGGTGACTTCTCACTGTTGACCACACCCCTCTTCTGTCTCCTCCAGAAACGTGGCATTTCCTCAGAAGAGGAAGAAGGAGAGGTGGACAGTGAGGTGGAGCTGACATCAAGCCAGCGGTAGGTGGTGCAGTACAGGTGGTTATGGCATCCTTTTGCCTCCTGGGCTGCAAAGGATAGAACAAGCTATGAATGACCACCTTCTCAAATACTTAGGTGGCCTCAGGGCCTGAATATGCGCCAGTCACTATCTACCTTCAGCTCAGAGAATCCATCAGATGGGGAAGAAGGTACAGCTAGTGAGCCTTCCCCCAGTGGCACGCCTGAAGTGGGCAGTACCAACACTGATGAGCGGCCAGACGAACGGTCTGATGATATGTGCTCCCAGGGCTCAGAAATCCCACTGGACCCACCTGCTTCAGAGGTGGTCCCTGAGCCTGAACCCAGCTCCCTGGCCATCTCACACCACGACCTACTCAGAGGTGAGCAGGTAAGTCACAAGAATAAGTATGAGGAAGAACCAGAAGCAGATGCTGGGCCAGTTGGCGGCTTTTGGGGAGACAGATGCAGAAGTCAGGAAGACCAGATTTGGCCTCTAAGTCACACAGTTTTCTCCCCTTCCAAAAAAGACCAAATATCCACGTGGTAGAATGTGAGGACCACGGTACAGATCACCTGATAAAGGTGCCTGACATGTAACTTGTACAGCAATCATAAAGTACTGCTGCAGAAGGATAGAAAATAAATAGTCTGGTGCCTTAATAGCCTGAGCAATTAAAATCTAGAAGCAAGAAAATCCCTAAGTCATTGGCTATTAAGAGAGATGGCAGTGAGGAGCCCTAAAGGAAATCTTTGCAACACCAAGAGATGCTGAGCCCCACCTCACTGCCTGTCTACTCTTCCTCACAGGGCCCTCCTAATTCTGAGGACTCAGACTGTGACAGCACTGAATTGGACAACTCCAACAGCGTTGATGCCTTGCGGCCCCCAGCCTCCCTCCCTCCATGAAAGCCACTCATTCCTTGTACATAGATAAATATTTATATAAATAATATATATGCGCCACATAATCAAGAGAAAGATGGGGCTGTCCCAGCTTTAAGTCAGACTTGAGGGAGACTGACCCCCTGACCAATTCACCTGATAAAACTCTAGGGACACTGGCAGCTGGAGATTACTGCCCTAGAGCAGTGTTTAAGGGGAAACTGACACCCTCCTCCTGCCTCACCCAATTCCTTATGTTCAGCAACCAACGAGGCTGTAGAAAAGCCAGACTTGTCTAGGCTCTTTACACCCAAACAGTTGGACAGAAGGGAACAAGAGAGGGGAGAGGGAACTACTGAAGACTGCACTTTTGTTTTCCGTTTACTCTGTTTACACATTTTGCACTTGGGAGGAGGGAGTCTAAGGCTGGGTCCTCCCCCCTGAGGTTTCTCAGGTGGCAATGTATCTCATTTCTTTGTTCCTCCATCTCTCTGCCCAAGCCCTGACTTAGGGCCCAGGGTGAGGTTAGGACACTGATAGCATGTAATGGGGCTCAGGCTGAAGAATTGGGGTGCTTTTTAAGTCCCTGCTTTTATCCTGGTGCCGGATTGGGGTGGGGACTCTCATATTGTAACCCCTGTGAAAAATCCTCAAATATAACCACTCCATGCAGGCCCAGCTGTTGAGGGTTTTCTTGGCGAATAAATGGGATATCACACATGGTTAATTTAAGTAGGAGCCTCGGATTCAAGAATTTATGAGGACTTAGGACCAATTACTTTCTGCCTTTTCTCATGTAAATAAATTCTATCAAATTACAACTTCCTAAAGTTCTAAGCATGAATGGAACTGGCTACTTTTCTAAACGATAAAGACAGAAGTGGATCTGAAATATTCTTTTAAAGACCGTACATGGACAGTTATTAACACCAAGAAACTAAAGGTTTTAGTTTAAAATACACAGGCTTGAACAAAGGGACAGACTTCCATATGTATGCAATGAACACCCCTCTCCCAAAGTGCCTGCCTATTCTACAGAGCAATCCTATGCAAGTAATTATAATGCTGTCTTTGGGCGTAAATTTTACAAGGGCCAACCAGTACTAGCTTGTGGGAAAGAAAGATTGAGGGTGAAGAAAAAAACATGAAGTGCTGAAACAAGAAAATCCATATTGGAATAAAGGCTTCTATTCAAAACCTCATGAGGGTCCTATGAGGGATAAGAAGTACAAAAATAATAGCAAGACAACAGGAATAAAACCCACATGGATCACTGTGGCATCCAGTTTCTATTCACAAAGAAAAAGCTCCAGTCCATCTTTTAATTTTTTTGAAAAATTCCTGACATTACAGAACTAAACTGAAATGTATTAATATTCCACTCATTACATTTTCATGACAAACAGAAAAATTCATGAGCCAAAAAAAAAAAACCACAAACAAAAACAGGGGGAAGCTTATAAAACTAAATATGGATCTCAGCATTAACAGCTGAACAGAGAAAGGAATTAAAACGCTTTAATTAAAAAATCACGAGTGGATAATAAAGTGTGTAGAAACTGAAAATTTACAAACTATTTAAAACCTGGAATCGCTGACTGTTCAGTAACTACACAGATGGATCATGGGTGGTGGTGAACAGCAGAAAGGGTTATGGATGAATCTGCATTGTTCTAGCTGCTCCCCATGCCACCCGTCTCCGAGGAAAGCCTGTAACACAGAAACAGACAAGAACTCAAAGTTAGTTTTTCCCAGTGCCCAGCTACCCCTCACCTCTAGAACTTTCAGTCTGAACGGTAAAATGAAAAGGAGTACATATCAGCATTTCAGTATCAAGGGAGACATTTCAACACTTCTTGGATTAAAAAATGGTCCAAGTTAAACTACAATTTAAGTAAGATTCCTGAGGCAAATTATGTCAGAAGGAAAAAGAGAACCATGGAGAAGTCCTTCAATATACATTCTCTGAAACGTTAAAGGCTTTCTGGAGATATGCTACTCTTATTAACAAAGACCATTCTTGGGGGTGTAGATACTACTTAATCTCCCACATGCTAACACACTAACAAAACAGCCCTTTAGGAAAAACACTGAGCTGGAAGTAGCCTTGTGAGGGTAATGCTTAAGACAATTCAAAGAAGCCTTTAGTACAGCCTCCTGTACCTCTATCAACATAAAAAATATTACTATGAAGTAAGACAATTTTGAATGCTAACATGTTAAAGAGGGAAAAGCAAGCAGAGTAACTATAGGCCAATACTTTATTGTTCTCATGCCTAGATTTCAAGACTGAAGAGGAGAAAAAATTTTTGTTTCCACACCTTTATCTCACTAACTCCCTAAATCTATGGTCTTCTCATTGAGCCAAATTCTCCATCTAAGCATATCTGGCTTTCCTTTCTGTCTAAAACAGGTCAAGGGCTGGGGATTTAGCTCAGTGGTTCCAGCAGCTGCTTTGTAAGCACAAGGGCCCAAGTTCGATCCCCAGTACCAAAAAAAATAAATAAAACAGGTCATAAAATTCAATTTAGGGATTTAAGGGAAAGGTAATATGACTCACTGATATTAGGGACCTGACAAGACTCAGCCCAAGATTTTGATTAGAACAATGTGTATAAAGAGGAGGTTTCAGTTCAAAAAGTTACTTCATGAAAGATCTAAAATCACTTAGTCCTGGACATTGGTGCACACCAATGATCCCAACACTCCCAGAGGTTGAGGCAGGAGGATCACAAGATCAAGGCCAGCCTAACTACATAGTGAGACCCTATTTCAAAAAAAAAAATACCTATATGCATTTTCTGGTTAAGAGTATGACTGAACACACTATCTACTTTCCTTCTTCAACAATTAAAAGTCAAAAGCAAAGCCAAGGATTTGAGCTCAGTGGTGCCGTCACCTGCATCCCAAGCATAAAGTCCTGAGTTCAATCCCTGGTACCAAAAAAGTCACAAGCTGGCAAGAAGTGAACAAAACCAAGGATAAGGAAATTGAGCCTATTAATTAGTAGAGTTCTTCAATCATGGACTGTATTTATCCAGGTATGTTCATGAACACCTGTCATCCCAGCACTGGGAAGGCAGAGGCAAGAGGACCACCTCAATGTTCAAGACTAGGCTGGGCTACACAGTGAGTGTAAGGCGAGCCTGAACTACAAAATGAAATCCTGTCTCAAGAAAAAAAAAATCATGGACTGTATTTAAAGTAAAAAATTTTCTTCTCCTCCGCATAAAAAAGAATAGTTCTTAAAAGGGGGTACACCATGCCTGCCTCACTAGCCCAAGGTCGTGAGTTCAATCCCCCTACCAAAGGGGGAGGGCAGATTCTCACCAGGGATGGTGGTACAAACTCATGTAATTCCAGCACCCAGGGAAGTTACAGCAGAAAAATAAGGGAGTTCAAAACTAGCCTAGAACACAGCAATAAAAAAAAAAAAAAAAAAAAAAATCTATGCCCCACTCCATCCACAAAACGAGGGGGGTCAAAACCAGATGATCTAAAGCAAGGTAAACACTAAGCCCTGCATGAAAGGGTTCAGTGAGAACTGAAGGTCCAGAAAAGGAGCTTCTGTCTATAGTTTACAATCTACCCAAGAGGGTGGAACACTCTAGCCCCATTTGGTTAAAAAAAAAAAAAAAAAAAAAAAAAAACACCTCTCCAGAACTTACATCAATCCTGGACAGGGTGTTTTTGCAGGGGTAGAGTATTGGGTGAGGAGGCAGAGAGAAAGAAAAACCCAAACAGAAATATAAAGACCTGAAACTATGGGTCAGTGGTAGAGCACTTGCCTTGCAGATATGAGACCCAGGTGGGCTCCCTAGCACAAACAAAAAGAAATGCAAAAGAGAAGAAAGAAGGCAGGGAGAGAAAGCGGGGAGAGGGGGAGAGAAAGAGGCAAGACTGGGGAATGGGAGGGGCAAGGCAGGCAGTCAGAGAGAGGTAGACAGGCAGGCAGGCAGAGGGGTGCCACTATGCTAGAATTGATGGACCACATGAGGGAGCTCTAACCTTTAAAAAATTTGATACCAAAAGGCCAGGGATTTAGCTCAGGGGCACTGTGCCTGCCTTGCAAGCACAAGGTCCTGAGTTGGATCCCTGGAACAAGAAAAAAAAATGATAGTAAAGTGGTCATGGTAGTCACTTCCTTAAATATCTAGATTTCCCAACATCCCTTCCTTGGAGGATATTTATTAGGTTAAAAGGCCTTCTAATCAGGAATTAGATAAAATTTTTAAAAGACCAATCCCCCCTGGAGGGTAGGGCAGTAGTATCAACGTAACAAATCCTAACTACTGCAAGAACAGGTGAGAGCTAGACCACACATAATATAATAACTACAGCAAAAACTTCTAGCAGGACAATAGTTTGCCCCTCCAATTCTTCGTGTAGACTTACAGCATATACTACTACTAATAGGCTCAATCTGTGAGGGAAGAGCCATAACACCAGAGAATGAGACAATATACTGTACCATTAGTGAGTGAACAGCTAGTTTTTAACAACTTTAATCAAGGGCTGGGGATTTAGCTCAGTGGTTCTGATGCCTGCCTCACAAGCATGAGGGCCCAGAGTTCAATCCCTGGTACCAAAAAACAAACAAAAAGAACCCCCCAAAAAAACCAATGTCAATCAAAAGTAATGTGTGGAAATAGGGCATCAGAAGGAAAATTCTGCACATCAAGTTCTTTTCTCTAATGCTTTGAGGAGAACATACTTTCAGGACCTTGCCAATACCATCAATACATACTTTGGTTGAGTAAAGGAAAAAAAAAAAAAAAAAACATTGTGTATGTGTGTTTAGTAGTGCTGGAGATTAAAATGAGATACTCTGGGGCCAGGGATTTAGCTCAGTGGTGCAGTGCCTGTGCAAGGTCTTGAGTTTGATCCCCAAACCAAACAAAAAAACCCAGGTACTCATACTTGCTAGGCAAAAATGATCTACCACTGAGCTGCACATCCAGAGAGACCTATGCCCACTGTGGAATAAGAAAATAAGAAGCTGGGTGTGCAGCTCAGTGGTAGGGCACACTGCAAAAAGCTCTCAAAGCTTAACATCAAAAAGAAAAAAAAAAAGACTTTAAGGAAGTAAATACACTGAGTAAAAACAAAGCACTAATTGAAAGCACAAACTGTTGGCTTGTTCTGGGTAATCATATGATCTACAAGTTTAAATTCCCTCAGGGCCTTTTTTCGGTTATGTGAAGGGATTGATGAATTACAAACTGGTTGATCCCTAAGATTCTTTCAAATCTAAACCTAACTTCCTACTTATAATAGTGTTGATAGGACAGTGAAGGGTGGGCAGGGAATAGAAGGGTGAAGAAACTTGGCTGACTACTCAGCTGTTTTAGTCAGCATCTTACAAGTTCTGGGCAATGTCACCAATTGAATTGTTCAAGACCTTCCTAATGTCACATAAAGAGGGACAGTGCTCATTCACAACAATGTAGACTGAACTACTTAGAAGACTTATCCAACCCTGCCTTATCATTCTGGGTACAGAAATGTGCTCTTTGTGGTATATGCCTTGGAAGAGATTCTAACAATAACGACTCCCCGGAGGAAACAGCATCTGGGATGGGCACCCTTGTTCCCTGCTGTTGATAAGGTAAGGAATCTGAGAAACTTCTTCACTAAAGTGGCTACTTGCCAATTATAAAGGACCCTCAACATCTATCCAAACACAGGCACATCATTTTTGTGGGAATACTGAAAAAGGATTGTAAAAGTAACCTGGGAAACAAAAATGCCCAAGTCAGTTGTGTAGGCTTCCTGGTTGAATAGGCACAGGTCATAGGTTCCCACCCCTTTACCCGGCACAGCACACGGTAAACTAGGGTTCTTACTCTCGTCAACTTTATTACAGCTAGAAACACAAATCTGGCCAGGAAGGCCTGCCGATAGCTTAGCCATTAAATAATTTTTAAAAAAAGGTCAACTGGAGAAGCTTTTATTCATTAACACAGAGCCTAACACATTGTTATATTGCAAGGCAGAGTAAAGCTACAAAAAAAAAGATAACAGAATGAGAAAGAAGATCAAGAACTGTGGCTCTAGATAAAGAATTCAACAAGTGAGACTCAAACAGGCACTCAGCTGAAATGGCCTAAACCTAAACAAAGGTTTACTGTTGCCCCCCCCACCCCCACCCAATTTTATCCCAAGTAGTAAAAAGAAACCAGTCACAAGCTCACAATAGTTTGGTTCTCACCAGTATTAACAAAGGAAAACAAAATGAACCAACAACATTTGAGGATGTGCCTCAAGATATGCACTCAGTAGGGGGAGAATCTCTGTTTCTCGCTTTTCAGTTTGTTAGTTACACATTGCACCGCAGAAGTGGTGGTGGTGGTAGCTGAAGCCCCGGTACCCTTAGCAGCAGACACAACATTTAGAGCCAGGAGAGGGATGGGTTTCATGCCAAGCAGACTGGAGACACAAGGGGCGGTCGGAAGAGGGTTGGGGAGGCTGGAGGGTGCGTCGGAGGTCCCCGCTGTGGCGAGCGAGGGGGTGGTGGTGGAGGAGGAAGAAGAAGAAGAAGGGGTGGAGGGTTGAGAGAGGTTGATGCTGAGGTGATCAGGGATCGTGACGGAGGCTGCCTGGGAGGAGGGTTTAGCGTTTTCTAAACTGTAACAGAGGAAAAAAAGGAACAAAAAAAAGGGTGGGTGGAAGGGAAGACCACAAAAGGGAAAAAGTACAGGACAAAACCTCTTTAGTTCTATCAAGTAAGTGCCTTTGGTTGCCAATTAGGAAGACTTACTATCAACTGATGACAAGCTCTCTCTAGTCTCTGTCCCACCCTCTAAATATGTACACTTTGCCACCTTCCATTCCATGCTGCTATTTAAAACTGCTTTGGTGAAGAAAAAGCTGACAGACTGAGAAAATAATACATGGCATACTTTCTAGTTCTGAGACACTGACCCAACCCAGAAATCAGGAATGATTTTAGGCAGAGTATTTCAGGTAGAAAATAAAAGAATATTCAATCTCCAAACAAGAAATGCTTCACCCACCAATCAGATGTCAATTACCCATTTTAATGGAAAAATCAATTATCAATTATCCAATAAGCTCTGAATGTTAGATAAAATTTTTAAAATTGTTTTTTATTTAATGTCTGCTTATATAGCCACAGCAAATGAACCAATGTATAAGGATGGGAAGGAGCAAGAGATTACAAGGTAGCTCACTAATTTCAAACTTCAAAGAATGTAGCATTTTCAAAGAAAATTGCTAAGAACACAAGTGTAGATAAGAAAGAGAGCTTTTCTAGTGGGAGGTGGCAGAGTTATAAAAGACTCGTTTTTAACGAACATACTCTTCTAATGTCTAATGTCTGCTTTAGAGAACTGGAAGAAACTCAAGCACTACCAAAACACTTTTTTTTTTTTTCGGTACCGGGGATCAAACTCAGGTTCTTGCCCTTGCAAGGCAGGAGGCAGAACCACCGAGCTAAATCCCCGGCCCAAACATTCATGTTTTAAAAAAACAAAAATAATGCTGCTTCTACTCGTAAATACAGTCCAAAACCAGTAACTCTTCAAGAGCAGGAAGACTCCTCATTAAGACTCCATTTTGTTTATCTTTGTTCAGATTCAGCTGTAATCCATAAAGGTGGCAAGTAACTAGAGGCCCCAGACTGCCACCATGAAAACACTAGAGAGGCACAGCAAAAATGCTCAGAATCCATCAATGACAAACAAATAAATCCTTCTTGTCTAGTATTAATAAGAACAGCCAGATTGTTGTATCCAATTTGGGCCAAGATCAGAAAATGAAGACCAAACGTTATACATAAATAGTCTTTGTTTTCATGGTAAATGAAGCTTTAAAATTCTGACCAGAAGCCATAGCTTGGATAGTATCATTAAGTAGGATGATCCTGAATAGCCAGACATTAAATAAGAATTAATCCTAAAGAGTGATTCTAAGTAAAATTTTTCTGCTTCCTTAAAATATGGCCATTGACTTAATAGAAAAGCAGCCAGGCAAGCAAGTCAGATTTAAACATTTATAATTCAAACTTATCTGGTAACACACTAAAGGGCAAAAAGAGTCTTCCTAAAGCAGAAGAAAGCAATACCCAGATTCTAAGAATATGACTTTTGCCACTAAACTCATCTCCAACACCCTAATTAGAAACAAGAAGATAATTCTTGTCCATAACTTTTTTTAGTACCAGGGATCAAACTCAGGACCTTGTGCTTGCTAGGCTAAATCCCCAGCCCAACAAAGAGGGAACTGTTCACAAACAACCTCTGTGGAAAAGCTATCATTTTACTCTGAATACTAAGGATGAGATATGCTTGGCTGGTAAGCAAGAAAACAGATCTAAACATAGGAAATTTTTCTACATAAAGACTAGCAGTAGTACCTCAAAGAACAAAAACACTTAAGGAAACTCAGGACCGCTACTGGGAAGTGATAGCATCTTTAGCTAAGAACAAACACATGGCAGTCAGCGTTAAGCACAACAAGAATGAAGACTATGGCCAGGGATTTAGCTCAGCGGTGCAGCTGCCTGCCTTGCAGGCACAAGGACCCAAGTTTGATCCCTGGTACCCCCACAAAAAAAAAGAACGAAGACTACACTTAGGAATTCCATCCCTTATACTAGATTCAGGAACTCACATAAAACTTTCATGATGAGGAAACTAAATACTTATGAGAAAGGTGGAGGACCAGACAATATTCCCTAAAAAGAGAGACAACTAAGCATCTTGGGAAATGGGCTGCTAACACTGGCTTAAAGTATCATTAAAAAATAAAGAATGTGCTAAGGCACATAAGTTGAGAGAATAACAAAAATAAACATTGTAGAAGATGCTCATCTGACAATTGTCCTATATATATAACCTAAGTATAAATATTATCTTTGTATGACTAAGAGAAATAAAACCTCAGGAAGTAACAACAACAACAAAAAAAAAAACTCAGGAAGTCAATGACTAGAGGAATAAGAAGAAAATATACCTGGTATTTCTGAAAGATTCCCATACCTATGCCTTCCCTTTCCCACAAGTTCTGAGTAACAGAACATACTTGTAATTTGAAAAAAATGGATGTTTTCAGAGTAAATGGTGTGGCTGTCTCCAAAAAAAACTGTTCTGATGTCTCTTTACTCCATCATTCTTAATTAAAAGTGCTCTGGACCCCAAGTCTCTAATCAATGAGATATATTGTTCTATGCATGTGTAACAAGAGAAATGACTATTTGGATTTTGTCAGTACTGCTGCTCTAGCCGGAACACTATCCTAAATTAGCAAAGACATACATCATTCTTTCCACACCCCAAATCCCCAAACCAAAAATCAAATACAAGCAATCTATGTCACCCCATGCAAACTGACTATAATCTCTTTTTTTCTGCTACACTGTGACAGAAGCAAGCAGGACTAAACTTCCCACCCCCCAAATAACTCCATATATGGCAATCTACTGTAATACTCCAACACACATTATTGTGCTGTTATTAATAAGGTAAAAAGTAGGGCAACCTTACCTGACATTGATTAGATATTGAGCCAGGCTAATGCTGGCAGCAGATCCAGTGATGGTAACCTGCCTATCAGTAGATCCTTCCACTGGGTTCGCAATTTTGATCTGCGCCCCAGACATCTGACGGATCTCATTGATTTTGGCGCCTTGACGGCCAATTATGCAGCCAATCAACTTGAGGGGGGGAAAAAAGGCACACCAAATTAAGATTCACAGTGACTACATCCGAGAATTACATCCCTTCTAACTCCTAAACCTGTGTCTAAGAATACGGGAACAGAAACTACTACTACCTAAACCTACATTCCTTAACCATAAATTCCTGATCCAAAAACTGGAGTTCTAGATCCCATTTCAACTCCTGACCCATCCTTCTGACTACTTCAGATCACAGCCAACTTTGAACTCCTGGCAAGCATTTGCTCTTCAAAAAGCTTGGGATAAAAAAAGAAATCTTCAGTTTTGGCCACTAATGATAATTAAATACATCCACCATTGTTAGCATCTCACTACACTTAGTGACAAGAATTCTGAATAATTTCAAAATCTTCTGGCCTCAGAAAAATGGAATTACTTTAAATTTGTATTGTTCAATATTACAAACTGTAATATGTGTTTACTGAACACATGATTAGTGAGACTGAAAAATTCTAATTATCATCATCTTCAAAAATAATCACATATGGTCAATAAGTACCATGTTCAACAGCACAAATCTAGCATTCAAGGGCTACTACACCCAATACTTTAAAGATAAAATCTTATATTTGATACAAAAAGGTTCTTCCCACCTCATGCTAACCTTCATGAAATAGCTTTGTCAATTTTCTCTACCAAGTTTGTGCTCAGAATTCTGTAAACTTTTCTTTTTTTTTTGAGACTAGGTCTTGCTATTTATGTTCAGGCTGGCAAGGAAAGTCATGGTGATCCTCCTGCCTCACCTCAGTGCTGGGATTACAGGCATGTGCCAACACACTAGGCAGAATTCATTTTTTGGAAACAAGACCTCACTAAGTAGTCCAGATGGACCTTGAACTCACTCACTGTGGAGCCCAAGCTGGCCTCAAATTCAGCAATCCTGCCTCATCCTCCTGAGTGCTGGTATTATAGGTGTGCACACCCAGCCTCTATACTATTAAATTCTTAATGTGGTGTCTAACCTCATTTTGTTTTCTTAGGGCTTAATAGGACATTTCTATTCCTTAAAACCAATTCTCTTATTTTCATCCCATAAAATCCCACTACACTTACATCATTTGGAATGGTGAGTTCATGAGAAGTAGTCTGAGCAGATGCATCCAAACCTGCTAAAAGACAGAAGAGAGCAAAACAGTTCAATGCACAGCATTCAAAAACACACTGATTTGCACATAAAACTAACAGAAAGAAATTAAAACTGGAAACCCAGCATTGGCTGTTGGGATTCACCACTAACTTGGAAGCCTCCAAGGAGGAAAAGATGGGGGAGAGGGGTGTAGAAATAATGCTGGAATGGTTCTTCTGTACACTCAGAAGAGCTGATTTCATGCCATTTCCTGCAAAGCCCAGTCTATTAGGGATAGGGGAATGGAAGCAAGGGGTCAGGGGGTGTATCCTCAAACAGGACCAAAATCTAAACCAAAATCTAAACATCAAGTCCCTGTACTTCCACCCCTTTTCTGCTGTTGTGTTCCAATTTTCTCTCTCCCAATGCTCACTAGCACCAATGCCAGTATCATGCCTGTTATTGGGTACCATGGACTTTTGGCACACATACAGAGTTGCTTTAAATATACCTGTATCAGATTAACATCCTCCACCTCTATCCTCCCAACTTAGACTTAAAAGGTCAGATAAAATGAAAGGGCTGGTCAGGTGAGGGGAAACTCATTTCTCCAGATTCATTCTGTCTTTGGCTCAATTTGTTCTGGCTTTTGTTTAGTTTTGCAATGAAAAAAGAAAAATCCCATCAGGAAATACCCATATCCATCTATCATGACACCTGGACTGGACCAGGCCAGCTGGCTAACCCTTATAAAATCCCAGTCCTGCTCTGAACTACATTTTTTAGAAGGGGGTTGGCCAGATCCATCAAGGGACCCTCAGGGGCACCAGGCCCACCCCTTTGCTCTCTCAGCTCCTCTCTACCATGTGCACGTTGCTGGTATGGTTCATGGGTAGTGAAACAAGACTCCCACCAGTTTATTAATATAACAGTAGAATACTACAGATTTTTTTTTTTAATCATTACCCCAATAGCCTTTCACCTCTGGAGAGCTGGATTCAATGCCTGTTAAGATACAAGTGAAAATGAGTTTGGTGGTCTCATCCTAACCCTATCGGACAAGTTATTCCTTATACAGAAAAAAAAAAGCCCAAAAAACAAAACAAAACAAAAACAAAACAAAAAAAACTACACAATTTGGCACAACGGATTGTATCTACCCAAGTCTGTGAATAGCTGGTGGAGAGAAAGGGGGTGCTGATCAGATCAAGGGGGCAAGAGTTAGGATGGATTACAAGAAATATCAGCCTACCCTTTGCCTGACAAGCATCCCCACACCTCACCCCCAAACCTTCCAGGGCCTTTTTTTCTTTTAGAATAACTCACCCCAAATGAAAATCATGTTAATAAACACATTACCTCCTTGGGTTTAGCCACGGACAGGCTAAGCTTAAACCAGCAGGATGCTGGGTAACGAAGTTTGTTTTAAACAGATGTCAAGCTGAGACCTTGGGACTGGCCTCTTGTCTTGAACTACACCTCACAAAAATAAACACTGAGGTATCCATACCACTGAATCCGGTGTTGCCATGCGTCATGGGAAAGTGAGACTGTTGCATTGCCAACTGGTGCAGCTTGGTCAACTACAGGAAGAAATAAAGAGAGGTTGGCATTAGAAGAATAATAAAGCCAGGGCTCACGCATGTTCAATGTGAAAATGCAGAGCTCCTGATCCAAACTCTACTACTACAACTACAACAGAGGGTAGGTACTGGCCTTAGAATACAATCCTAGAGATGGGCAGAATATGAAGGGTGAGAATTAACAGAAAAGTGAGTTTAAGAGAATGAATGCATCTTGGGTATGTGAAAAGAAAAGCAACAACTCCCGCCCAACAACCATTCCCTTGTGGGCTACTTAATGAGTATTTGCAGCCATTGCAACAGTTGCCCCAGGGACAAGCACAGACAGGCTAGGTAAACAAACTGTGCAGTGGTGCTAGGGAAAACACACCATGCAGGGTTCCGCCAGTGTTAGGGATAAGGAAGGAAATGAGGAGGGCAGGGAGACTGCAAGAAGAGAGCTTAGAAAAAAAGCAAACTGGGTTTAGTATACACCACTGATGTCTACAGCTGTTTTTATTCACCTATATAAACTATCCTGGCTATTGTGAAACAATCCCTCCTCAGGTCTACCTCTCCTGGGGCCTACTACTAACCAAGAGCCAATCTCAACTTTCCAAGTCTAATGCGCTCAGCATCTAAAAAGCTTAGTAAGAATAAAGGAAGAGCACAGAAAGAAATGCCCTTAAACAAGGCTAAATACCAGCACTTTGAAATAAATTTTTAGTTAAGAAAAATTTTACTGAGTTGAATTCCCAGATGTTCAATTTCCTATCTTTTCCTGGATCAGTAAAGCCCTCCACCCCACTCCAAATATTTTGTTACCTCATGTTGAGGAGTACCAAAGGGCACATCCAATATTTCATACCCCCCCACCATGAAAAGGCAGGCTCTACTCAAGGAACCACAGTTCACTGTTAATTTAAACCATGCCCTGAGATGACAAATGACAGTAAATCATGGAACACCTCTTTTAGGTTAAGTAATCATACATGGAAAAGAATAGAAGACAATAATTTCCAGGGGTTAAATGTCAAAAAGCATACAAAATTCTACTAAGCACTGGTTAAAGATTATTTAAGGGCCAAAATAGGTGGTTCACCTTCAGAGGACTGCCAATGTTTAAGACCCAACTCATTTCGGGCTACTTGGGAGAAAGGAGTCAAGACAATTTTGGATGAAAGAGGGAGCTTTTCAAAACAAGAAGTAAAACCAAACTTACATCTGGCTGTGGAATGGCATACTGTCCTTGAATGGTATAGGCCTACAAAAGGAGGAAAAGAATTCCTATTAAAAACCAATCACGGACAGCCACCCAGTGGGAGGGGGAGGAGGGAAACAAGATTTCAACTAGCCTTGAAGCCAGAGATGAATTAGAGAATGGGGAGGCCAGAGAATGAGGCAGTAGATGGAATCTCACATATATAGTCAGACCCAAACTGGCCTTCTTTGAATCTTTAGTGACTATTTCAGAGACCCTATAAAGGTAGCCAAGTTCCCAACATTCAAAGCAAAATATATTTATCTCGTTCTTAGTGAAAATGTGGGAAGTGAGATTAAACAATGCCTCCACTGACCAAGCCCCTCCTCTTTCTCCCTGCATACAAGACAACCTAGGAGGGAAAATGTTTTCTTCCCTCCCCACCCCATCCCCTCTACCAACTGTGGTAATGTGAGTGATTTTTTTATCTGTACAAACTTACACAACATGTTTTGAAGTACTTCCCTTTCCCGAATTTTTCTCTAACATCTGCCTAAAGACCTTCAGTACACTAGAAGCTAGCTGGATCCCTAACACTAGGGAGATGACCACGGAACACAAAAATCACTGTGCCCTAAATCCTGTCTTTTCCCACCTCCCCTCCATAAAAAGCACTTGCAGCTCCCACTACGCCCTCCTCCCACCATACCATGACCTCCCAAAAAGGGAGCTGGGGTCTTCAGGGCAATGGGGTATGGGTCAAAGAGGAAAAGGGAAAAGGGAAGGGAAGGAAGGATTGGCTGGTTAACAGAATGTGAAGCTTCTCACATCACTGCAGCCAGTACCCCCAAAAGTACACCCAAGGTAGGGGTGGGAGAAAGGTGAAAATAGGGTGGGAGGAATGGGACAGGGGGAGGAGGGGTTGAACAAAAATAAAAAATAAAAAATAAAAAAAAAATAAAAAAAAAAAAGAATTGGTGTTACCATCTGGTGGGCTACGCGGCCTGTGTGAAATGAGGTGGGGGGGTCAGTCCAGGTCCCCGTGGACAGGTGGTGTCCACAGCACAAAAATCACCAGCGCCACTGGCCCCCCGCGTGTTGGCAGTCTCGGCTGAGGCGGAAGGATTGAGTGAGCCTTGGAGACTGAACATCCCCTCTCACCTCTAGAGGTGGTCCCTCCAGGTCAGGGTTGAGGCACATGGACGGGGTGGTGTGGGGAAAGCTCGCACTGTCGCTGCCTGTGCTGTACCTGTCCTGTGGATAAATAGAGGATTTCAGTCTCCAGGGCTGTCAATCCGGCACCTTGTCACCAGCATGAAATTCACACAAAAAAAGTTGTTTAATTTTCTTTTTCCTTTAAAAAGGAGCTCACAACACATTTGAAACGAGCTGCAATCAGTAAATTAAAAAAAAAAAAGTTACCTAGTGGCAGATTTCACACTGCACAATTGGGTTATTTTCAGCAAGAATGAAGGGTGGGACAACAGCCGATGCCAGCTCCTGGTCAGTGTGGGACTAAGTTGAACCCCTACAGAGCTCACTTTGCCACAAAGCAACAAAAGACACAGGTCCATCTGTGGACACTGTATGAACTGGTCCATACAAAAAAGGTCATGGGAATGATCCATGAAAGGGTAACTCATGAAAGAAGCTGCAAGCTTTATTAAAGAGTGGTCAACTGAATAAAAGGGAGGGAGGGCAGGGAAGCAAAGAGGTATAAAGAGGGGAGGAAAAGGAGGAAAAAAAGGAAAGGAAGAACTTAAGTAGATAGGACTGCTGCCAGTAGATAGGGACTTCTTTGAATTCAAAATGGGAGGAGAATCCAGAAGAGCTAGAACCTGGAGTTCCAGGTAAAAAGGGAAAATTCCTAAAGCTAACCCTCCTCACTACACTGGTCTCTAAGCCTTTGCTTATCCTACCTAACATACAGACTGACAGCCCTTTCACCAATTTATACAAAGCTACTACTGCTAATGAAAGGTACTAACCTGCCCCAATAACTCCGTGACATGATTAACTTCTTGTAAAGCTTCCAGAACTATATAATGAACCTACAGTTCCCCAATTCAGTTAAATGTGAGAATGTGAGTGAGATGGACTTCAGTCTATGCTTCCCTTCTAAATGGCTTCTGGGTCAAATACAAATAATATTGTGTTAAAAGACTCGGTGGGGGGGCCTAGGGATTTGGCTCAGTGGTTCCACCGCCTGCCTCACAAGGTCCGAGTTCAACCCCCGTACCTCCCCCCACAAAAGAGTCATTTTTTTAACAGGCTAGACTCAAGTGGAAAAGGTACTTTGAGTAACACTTTTGCTCATGCAGCTACCAAAACAAAGGATGCTATTTCAATCTGAATCTCAGTATTTTAAAAACTGAACTACCTACTCCTCAAATACTAACCAAAGCATAGAACGACTATGGTGCTTCTCCATGTTCTTGTCATACAAATCTGAGAACAAGCCATGTGTCAAAGATGAAAAGTTTAGGTTGGTGAAGAAGGAGCAGGAGGTCAAGGGAGTGCTTTGGTGTTCTTGCTGTAACACCAAAGTTTACAGCACCACAGCCCAACATGCTCTTCCCCCTATTCTGGCACGCTGAACTTTTACCCCAGCTGATTTCAGTTATGCCAAACAGGTTCAAACCAGTGTTTACAAGGAAGAGCCTGAGGGACAACATACTGGAGTTTCGGAATGAAGGGGTAGGAATAGGGGAGGGGAGGTGGAGGGAAGGGGAAGTTTGTAAGGCACTCAAGTTCAGGAGTCCTCAATTTGAGACCAGGATCCAGATCTTCAGAGGTTCAATTCTGCTACCTTTACTCAGGCCTCTAAAGATTACCCCATACATACAAAAGCATGGATGGAGTGGGAGTAGGGACAGAAGCAGTGATATCAAGGCAATTTAACTTTGTTCTATACCATAACCCACTTTAAATTACTAAATAAGTTACCTCTTCCGAGTGCCTACAAAACTTCCATTGCCTGCTAAAAATTAAATAAGGGCTTGGCATTCAAGGCTTTCTCCAGTACAAAAAATGAAACTACAAGCAAGTCAAACTATGCCAGAATATAGGTCTGAGCAAGCATGCAGAGTGGGTTTGGTGTACTGCTGGCAAAGTTGACATTTGAAATATAATCTGTTCACCGTAGCCCATCAGTAAGAATTTTCTTACCTGACCACCTGCAAAGATGACTGGAGAACTTGATGGCTTGGGCCGGTACGGGATGGTCACGCCCTTCGGGGGGGACTGGGAGAGAGTCAGAGGGGAAAAAAACAAAAAGAGATAAGGTTTCAAAGCTGCTTCAGCTGTGTGGCTTTAGCACACACAGGTCAGTTAAATTAAAAACTTTTATTTTCATCCCCTTGCCCAGCAAGTTGTCTCTAGCTAAACCTAATCTCAAATTACCCAGTATCCCCCACCCTCACTTTATTTTTAGTTCAGGCTGGCCTTGAGCTCACCACCTAGACCAGGTTGGCCTTAAACTCAGAGCATTCCTCCAGTCTCAGCCTTCCAAACGCTGGGATTACAGGCATGCACCACCACATCCAGCCTAGTACTTTCCTTTAAACCTTAAAATGGTTCATGGACTACACATCCTATGCTATTCTCATCAAGGCAAGTAGCCTTGAAATAATTTTAGGCACTAGACCATGTTATAAATCTTAAATTTTACAAGCAGGAAATACTTCCACATGTACATTTTAAGTTGGCAATTTTTAAGATCTTACATTTTGATCTAAATAGGAAATAAAGAACCCAAGTGTTATGGCTTGGTTAATACACATACCATCTGTAAATAGTTCAAAGATGTCAATGAAGGTTTTTCTATACTTTACTTGGAAATTAAACTTTCTTTTCTGAAAGGATCAGCTCCACAGAACTCTACAAGTTTAACTGCCCTTAATTTTGCTATTCTTTTAATAGACTAATTATTACAGGAACTCATAAGGCATTCAGAAACACATGGTGACACATGCCTGTAATCCCAGCATTCTTAAAGACCAAGGTAGGAGGAACTCAAGTTCAAACACAGCCTGAGCTACATTACAGTGATCTAGCAAGACTGCCTCAAAATAAGGGAAAAGAGGGTGCTGTAGCTCAGTGTGAAGCCCGCGGGTTCAATTAGTGGTGTTGGGGTGTGTGACAGTACAGCATTATGAATACATTTCTTAATTCCAATATAACTGCCATTCTGTGTCCTTTTTGTTGTTGTTTTTGGGGTTTTTGTTTTGTTTTGTTTGCAGGGATTTTTGGGGGGTTGGTTTTTTGAGACAGGGTCTCACTATATAGTTGAGACTGACCTGGAACTCAAACTCACTATGTAGCCCAGGCTGGTCTCCAACTCATAGGGATCTTCCTGCCTGAGTCTCCAAGTGCTGGGATTACAGGTGTGCACCACCACACCCAGCAGTATGTCTTTCTTTAAAATAGAAACTAAAGAATGTGTGAAAGTTCCCCGTAACCAAATGCAGCATTGCAAAAGGAACTTAAGTGTCTCAGGAACCTAAACGCAGCTTTGCTCTACTAGGTCCAAGTAGTCAATCTTCCCATCTTCCCCTACCAATTCTGCTTAGAATTGCTATGAACCAAAAGTTCATTGCTGCTTAGCCATTTCTATTTTTACAGACCGTAAGTAAAATCAAAGATGGGGAAAGGAAAATATGAACTCAAGGAATTTCTTTCCCCACCCGCCATCGGAGACTTCCAACAGCTTCACCTAATTCTAGTCTTACTAAATATAGATCAGTTCTTCTGTCCTCAGAATCACCCTGCCCCAACTCCCAGCATGAGCCTGAGGGCTTACCTCCAACATGACCACGCAGATCTGTTTGACACACTCAATGATGGATTGCGGAATGCCAGCAATAGTGATAGCCCGCTCAGTTGAGTTGGGGAGCATATCCCCGGCCACTTGAACCTGAGCCCCTGTACTCTTTGGGTAAGAAGAAATTGAGAATCAGAAACAACTCATGTTCTTCCAATCCCTCCCAGTCTCAAATCTATCCCATCTCCTCCTTCCTATTATTCCCTTATTTCACATAGTGGTTTAATGGAAGTTAAAAATAAATTCGCCTCTGAAAGACAATAAGCCTAAATTTAACCTACTCTCCAGAAATAGGTCCTAGACAGTTTCTTTTCAGCAAGTGATAGTTCCATAGGCCAAGCTAGGCATGGTGGTACATGCCTGAGATCCCAACTTACAAGGCTGAGGCAGGATCACCACAAATTTGAGACCAGCCTATACTACACAGCAAGACCCTATCTCAAAATCTTTTTAAAAAGATAGTTCTAAGGGAAAACAAAAATCTCCACAGATATTATTCACCTCTCATTTATTACACAATATTGATGTCAAATCCATTCTATGTGCCAGGCATCATTTCAAATACTTTCCGATATATTAACAAAACTAACACCTGTTCTCACAGCATTTACAAGGTTCCCAAGACACCAACAAAATTTCATCCCAACACCAACTCTGGTAATCCCCAGATACAATTAAAAACTTCCAGCTTCCATTATTAAAAAGGGAATAGGAAAAATAAAGGGAATGGGGGCCGGGGATTTAGCTCAGTAGCACTGCACCACAAGGTCCCAAGTTCAATCTCCATTACAAAAAAAAAGGAATAGGAAACTGGACATCATGGTGTCGCATGCCTGTAATCCCATCACTTGTGAGGCCGAGGCAGGAGAATCATTGTGAGTTTGAGGCCTGCCTAGGAGGCCGTCTCCAAAAAGGGAGCGGGGGGACAGGATTAGAACTATATCCTATAGCCCAGTGGTGGTTAGTTTGGCCAAGAAAATATAATTACATATCTAACTATTGTCACTTTGTTTTTTTGTGTTTTTTTGGTACCGGGGATTGAACTTGGGTCCTTGCGCTTGCAAGACAGGCCACCGAACCGCTGAGCTAAATCCCCAGCCCTTGTCACTTTGATTATGAAAATTACAGCCTCATGGGAAAGTTACCAAACTATGCAAAGTTACAAAAATGGAAATCATGTGCAAGAGTTGGAAATCTTAGTAAACTTTCTCATATTCTGGTCATTTTGTGCTGTTTTGGTAATGAGAATTGAACCTTCACACCTACTAAATCTGCAGCCCTTTTAATTTTGAGACAGAGTCTTGCTAAATATCTGCCCATCCTGGGCTAGAATTTAGTCCTCCTGCCTAAGTCTCCCAGAATACAGGCGTGCCACAACTCCCAGCTGTGGTTGGTATTAAAATTTATGAATTGGGGGGAAAAAAAAACCTGAATTGAGCCAGGCAGTGGAGCTCACATGTAATCTCAGATACTCAGGAAACTGAGGCAGGACTGCTTACATTCATGAGTTAAGACCAGACTAGGCAATATAGCAAGACACCATTTAAAAAAAACAAAGGAGGATAGCAAAATAACTGGGGCAAGCAGCTTGGTACAAGAGTGCTTAACTAGCATGCTTAGAACCCCAGGTTCCATCTCCAGCATACAATAGTAATTAAAAAATATCTATGAGATGTTAAATCAATCAATTGTGTAATAACTTCCATTACCAGTATACATAGTATAACCTTCCCAAACTGATACGTTAGTAAGTCTTCTGATCTAATGCAAGATATTCCTAGCTACCTTAAAAACTAACATAGCCACATTTGGAAGAAATACCTCTCGTATTTCCTTGATCTTACAACCGCCTTTTCCAATGAGAGAGCCACACTGACTAGCAGGGACCACCAGCCTCAGAGTGACCGGGGGTCTACTGGCAGCTGTGCTATTGGTCATCGAGCTGCTGATGTCCTATTAAAAAAATAAAATAAATTAGGATACCAGAGAGACAGACAAGTTTAAACAGATCCCTGAAAACCCATAACTTTCATAAATAAACCACTTACAAAAATCTTGATCTTGTACAAGACAAGTCACATCATTAACTAAACTGACAAGGATCAAATACCAAACTCCCAACAATTTAAGAGGAGAACGTTTTTTACAAACTCGTCAGAAATAGCATAAATTTGGGCCGGGGATTTAGCTCAGTAGTACCATGCCTGCCTCACAAGCTCTAAGTCAAATTTTCCTTCATCTTGGAAAATTACACTTGAAAACAGAGGAAAAACAACTATTTTACAAATTAAGAGTTGAATAAGCAATGGAAAAAACATTTAACATTTACTAAAACAGTAAAGAGATAATAAGCTGAGTCACGTGGTGGTGTGGCCAAGTGGCCAAGGCGCTAGATAAGCTAAGCATGATGATGTATGTCTGTAATCCAAGCATTCTAGAAGGCTGAGGCAGGAGGATACAAATTACTCCTTTGGGTAATTTAACAAGACCCTGTCTCAAAATTTAAAAAGCACTGAGGATGTAGTGTAGTGTGAAGGTTTAGGTAGGTTCAACCTGCACAGTATCACACACCCACACAAAAGATGTAAATATTGTAATCCAATTCAAATCAAGTCTGTGATCTTACAGAAACCAAAGATTACAAAGTTAAACAAAAAACAAAAAACAGGCTTAGTGTGGTACACCTGTGATCTCAGTGTTATGGGAGGCTGAGGCAGGAGGACCACATTTGTACCTTGCCTGGGTAACACCAACTTAGAGACCCTGTTAGAAAAAAAAGACCACAGAAGATGATGGTACATGCCTGTAATCCCAGCACTAGTCCAGTCTGAAATATGTAGTAAGATCCTGTCTCAAAAACAAAAGTTTAACCTTCTATAAATTATGTGGGGCCAGGCATGGGGCCATGTGCCTGTAATTCCAGCACTCTGGAAGGATGAGGCAGGAGGATCCTCAAGTTTGAGACCAATCTAGACAGCTTAGAGACTGAGTCAAAATAACAAAAAAGGGCTGAGGAAGTATCTTAGTGCAAAGGATCTGGGTTCACCCCAGTACCAGACCAAAAAAAAAAAAAAAGTAAGTAGTTTAATTAAATACCACTTTTCTCAGCCTAATCTCCAGGTCAGTTAGACTGGGAAACTACTTAAGACCCTGAAGTCAAGCATGTTTCCTCCTTAAACAAAAAGTATGTTCCCCATTTATTTAAGCCACCAATTCTGGAATAAAAGGATCCTGCAACTCAAGACCTTTGTAGGGCTAGAGTGTAGCTCAGTGGCACAGCATTTGCCAGCATGCACAAAGATGTGGGTTTAAATCTCAACAAAAACCAACAAACAAAAAAAATTTTGCTCTGGATAAGATTTTAGGTAAAAAAGATTTCACACACCATTAAGTACCAACCACCAACCAACCAATACTCTTCTGCCTGTGGTAGTATCACCTGCACAATTAGCTGCATTAAGGCAGAAGGGGAAAAGAGCTAAGCATGTGACCTAGGACAATGGATATTCCAACTCTGAAGGTTTGATGGGGGGGCCTTTCTAATAAAATCCCTGACATGGTTATTTTTCATCTGATAACCTACTGCTCTCTCCTTTCAAGTATAATCTTGACACACTACTAGTGTTTGTGCGTATATACTTTTTTAAAGATACATACACATTTACTATAAAACCCAAAGTTGAAAATGTGTTAAGTGTTTGGCAGGACTTCTAATAAAAGCACATTAATTTAGTTCACTCAACTTTTAAATTAGAGTATAAAGTTCACTGAAGCAGCAAAGGTACACTTTCAAAACTGTTGGCCAAAGCCCAGGTATTTAGCTCAGTGGTTCTGCCACCTGCCTCACAAGCGCAAGGACCCAAGTTCGATTCCCATACCCCAAAACAAACAAACAAAAACAATCTGTTGGCCAAGAAATTTAAAAGAGATGAGATGAGAGATGAGATATTTAAAGGGGCTGGAGCATTCTCAGAAGGGGAGCATTTGCCTAACACACTGGATGCCCAGCACAGCTAATAAAAACTAAAAACAAGAGTATCTCTTCTACTGAACTATGTAGCCTAGGTAGCCTCGAATGCAAGGCAATCCTCCTGCCTCTGCCTCCCAAGTGCTGGGATTACAGATATGCACCACCACAAGTGCTACTTACTGTAAGGGACTAAGTTAAGAGGATTTGAGCCCAGGAGTTTTGAGATCAGTCTAGGTAACACAGTAGCGCCCCTACTGAAAAAAATAATAAAAATAAAAACAAAAAAGAACAAACCTCTTCCAGTTTGTCAATGATCATAGCAAAGGCTTTGAAGATGGCATTAGTGGGTCCAGCCAAAGTGATAATTCGTTCAGGACAATTCCCTTCTGAGATGTTGATACGTGCACCACTCTACATAAGGATAAGAAACAGAAGTACTTTAACAGACTGAAAATACCTGACAATGTACAAGATACATACAGGGACAAAAACTGCCTACGAATAAAAGTCAGCATCATTTTAAAAACTGTTCTATGTTTGTCCTTGAAAACAGTCTAGACCAGCTGCCTCAAGGTTTGAATTACTTCTGAGATGTGTTACAAAACTATTTCCCAGCACACTGTCGTTACAGAAATCTTGAGCCACAGCTGGGCATGGTGGCCCATGCCTGTAGTCCCAGCACTGAGGAGGATAAGACAGAAGGATCACCATGAAAGAGACCAGTCTGAGTTACATGGCAAGAGCCTGCCTCAAAAGCAAAAAAAATATTTCTTGAGCCAGGACTGGGAATATAGCTTTAGTGACTGAGCACTTGCCTAACATGTTCAAGGCCCCAGGTTTGATCCCCAGTGCAATAAAAATAAAAAAACAGAATCAGAAAATGACACTTTCCCTATTAAGATCTTCCTACAGACCCTTCACTTGTCATGGTTAACAACCCCAAAGTCCCTTATAACTTACCTCCTCGCGCATCTTCTTAACTGATTCTCCTTTCTGTAAGAGTAAAAGTCCAGCATGAGCTCCAATTGCTATTTCAACCCAGGGTAACTAAATAATTATTTGAGTTGAAGAAAAATATTCTTACCTTTCCGATGATACTGCCAACTTCCTGCAATGGACAAAACTAGTGTCAGTAAGAGGAAACTCAAAAACATTATTATAAAAAGGAGTTTCAGCCAGGTGTGGTGGCACACACCTGTAACCCCAGAACTTTGGAGGCTGAGACAGGAGGATCACTGACAGTTCAAGGCCATCCTGGGCACATAGTGAGTTCAAGGACAGCCTGAACTACATAGTGATGCCCTGTCTCAAAAAAAAAAAAAAAAAAGTGATTTCTATCTAGGCAGGCATAGTGGCACATGCCTGTAATCCTAGCACTTGAGAGGCTAGGTAGGAGGACTGCTGTGAGTTCAAGGACAACCAGGGCTACATAGGGAATCCAAGGCCAGCCTGAACTATACAGAAAGACCCTTTCAAAAAAAAAAAAAAAACAAAAAAACAAAAAACACCCCAAACAAACAAGAAAAATAATTTCTAACTGTTCAGCTAGCCAACTACTACCTCTACTAACTAAATACTACCCTCAAGGGATGAAAAGATTTTACAATATATGGAGGGGCAGCTTGTTCTGTTCTTCACTCAAGAATTCAAGAGTGAAGCTATCATTAAGAGTGAAGCTATAAAAAAAACAGGTGAAGCTGCTGAATTTTGAAGACTAACCATACAGGAGATTAAGTACATAACTCTGTATTTAACATAAATTATTTTTTAAATTATCAACTATGCCCCCTTTGAAGTTCTTAAAATTATCTGGGAAATCTGTAACTTATAGCAAGATCCATTAGAAAAATCTTACCACCCAGGCAAGCAGCATTTGGCTCTAACCTCTAGCTAAGCCCTTCCTGTTCAGTGGAGCTTCCTACTAAAATCTGTCCATTTCCCCATCACTTTCACATTTATTTCATTAGAGAAGAGTGCTAAAGCCAGATGTCCCACAGTGCTAATCTGATGAGCTCCAAGATGCAGGTCTGCTCTTCCTGCCCCTCCCTTAGCAGTTACTATGACCCAATTTTCCAAATTGGTGCATACCTTTCCATGCATAAGTAGCCGGATGGTGAGAGTGACATTTAATCCACCTTCAATCACACCGGTGTCCATGTTGAGTATTATGGGGAGCTGGACTTTGAGTGGTCAAGTCTTTGGTCACTGGCAGGGGTCAAAGCCAAAAACTGAAATGCAAACATGACCAAAATCAGAGAAGGAAAAGAGGAATAATTTCTCAATTATTTTCACCATTATCAGTATTTTCTAATTATTTTCCTTAAACAACAACCTACCAAACTCATACACACTGAGCACAACTGCAGAGCAACATTACAGTTCACGTTCTATTATAATACATAGAAGGCAACTTTCCAGTTTGCTCGCATTAATAAGAGGGTTTCTGCTGACTCTCAGATGAAGAACATTCCCTTCACTGGCAACGGTTCTAAGGGAACTGCTGAACATGCACCCAGTTGTCCTTCAGCAGAGCAGGCTTCAAAGAAAGATTCAGAAATACCTGGGCAAACCTTTAACCAAGTAAAGTAGGAAGCAAAAGGACCTACTGGGCAGAACAGAAAGCTAGGGAACACATAAATTTGCTTACAGTAGTAGCACTAATTTCTAGATAAAGAAATTAGATGCATTCCATATAACAAATTTCAGATACTAACGGATGACATTAAATGTTTTTTTAAAGGTTTAGGTCAACAACCTCTCCAAAAATTTCATTATCTGAGATACTGCCAATGTATGCCAGGGTTCCATACTGTCCTTTGGGATATGACTATACAGTTAAGTATAACTGAGTACTTTTCTCCTGTTTCTTCTCCCAACACAACTTGACGGTTACACATGAGAAATTTTCCTTTTATTCAAAGAAAACAAATCAAAATAAAACCCGTATCGCTAAAAATGTATGTTGTTATTGTTTTAAACAGCAATGTTTTCTATCCAAGACAGTTTTTCCTATTCATGCTCTGAAACTATGTTCCAAATAGTTCCATTCTGGAACAACCAGTGATGTATAGAAAGAGAATTTGGATTTGGATGTCTTTTGTCTTCAGTATCTTCTAAGCACCTAATTCTGATAGCTTTTAAAAGAATCTCTCCCGTTGTCAAATTTCTCCAATAACATGGTAAGTAGCCATCCCTTCAAAAGGGAAAAACAATGATCTCTCCTACAGCTAGTTTCCACCTTCACAAAACCAGTTTCAAATGGGCTGTAGCACAAAGTCCATACATACCCTGAAATGTTTTTAAATTAAGTGCCACCCCATTCTGCATATGGCAATTTGTTCCCTGGCTATTTCAGAATATAAGTGATTATATAAGTGCATCTCCAAACATCTCTTCCTTATTTTTCAGTAGTACAGTTAATTGCTGCCAAAACCCCACAAGTTGACACTTTTCACTCATGGAAAAACAATGCTTGGCAGGAGGTTGAAGCGTTGGGTCTTTCAGCATTATTTTTAATAAGATATGGTAAAAGTCTGACAGTTTAAGTAGTGTTCTCTTTCAGATGTAACAGGAAGCATTTATAAATACCACAGTGCTGCAAATTCCAAAGAGCAAGCAAATTAAAAATGTGAAGCCATTTCTTGAGGTAAAGTACAAAGGTGCATTTTTAACTCCAAACCATGTAATACTCCCAAGAAATTTTGCCATCTCTCTCCTGACTAGTAAGTCACTATACATGTATCCCGTCCCAGGAATCCAGCTGTTAATCCTGCAATGTATTACTCTTCTATAAATAGCTTGGTCTGGGTTTTTATCGGCAGGCATTTTGTCATTTCAAAATTCGTTACCCATAAAGAATGTTCCGAATAACTCGCTAACTGGGAGCCCCCCTCCCCTCGGTCATCCAAGCATTTTCCACTTAAAAAAAAAAAAGCCCCCGCTTTTTCCGACTAGAAAAGAGAGGAGAAATAAATTGTTCGGTCATGGGGGGGCGCTGCGATTCAAGGGGAGGGGCCGAGCGAGTAGCGCCTCCTCGTGTGGCTGCGCCAGCGCCTGACCCCCGCGGGGAGCCGCG